GTTAAATTTTTAGGTAATATCTTTGAGATGGAAATTGAGAAAACAAACTTATATTTGTTTCTAAAAATCAAAGGTAGCCTCTGTATTAAATATAACTCCCATCCAAAGATACATCCTGTATATAAAAAAGTAGTATAGTACCACATAAAATAAATAGAAAATATTGATTAATACTAAATCTTCGACACTGCACAAAAAACAGTGTTGTGGCGTGAACACACAACAACCCCCTCTTCTGTAAAATATAGATAGTTACCACTTTCAGATCAATTTTTTGATTCGGATCTAGAAGAACCTTTCCACGGCCTCCTTCCTGAAGCGGTGCCCTTATCTGATTCACTCTCGCCCTTGCTTTGGAACTTTTAAGAAATAAGGAAGTTAAAGCAACCGATAAGACACGACGNACATCAAAAAAAAAGATAATACTGTGTACTATCTATGGAAAAGTTTTGTTTCACAATTTCTACATTTTTTTCTCAGTTATGGGCAAAAAAAAGAGCCGCACCGTCCATCTTCGCCATATCAACCTATGTTAAAATGAACAACTTTCAACAACAATATCTCAAAACCTAGATTCAAAAAAAATTTCAAAAAATACGACGCACAAAGGGAGCACTGGGTAATACGCTATATAAATTTCAAGTACATCTGTGCATTTTAGTAAACCCGATATACCTCCTTAACAGTATATTATTTTTTGTTTATTATATTTCATTAAAATTCGGAAAAATAATATTAAAGTTACAGAATTTTATTACACTCACATTGGCAATATAAATAAAAAGCTTTTTTCGTGTTAATTTCATAGGTCTTTATCGAGTTTCAGTATAATTTTTATTAAGACATATTTTTTACTAATCTTTGAATTTTCTTTCAAGGAAAAACCTGTTTTTGGATACATTTTGCAAATTCTACTACAAAAATCTTTTCTTTAAATCCAGACACCTTTGAGCAATATTTGCCCAATTACATTGCCTGTGATTTTAATGCATTTTTTAATGAATGGTATACCTGGCCGAGAAATGGTGAAATTTCTGGCATTTTTAGGTACTGAAATCTTGAAAAGTAAAATGTGTAGAACAAAAGTAAGCACAAAAATAAAATCCTTGATGTTTTGTTTATTCATTGTTACCATTTAAATTTACCCAAATAAAATAATAACTAAAAAAAAGCGTTTGTAAAACATGCGTTTGCTGTTAT